GAGTCAGCTTCTGGATAGTAAAGCAACAAGCCAATGTACTGTTCATATTTTCAAACAGGAACAAGGTACTCGTGTGCCCCATGAAATCTGCTCCTGTCATGTTGACCATTTCAGATTCCAAACACGTCGTTCTGCCGGTTGACGATGACTCTGACTTGAATGTGGTTGCATCTTTTGATAGGCGAGGAGAATATATCTATACCGGGAATGCAAAAGGCAAGGTAAGCCCAGAGCCTGGAAGGTCCAGTCTCTCCAGCATCAGCTTATTCCGTGTTTACTTGTCCTTCAGCCTTAGATTTCTTTGGCTCCTACTCTAGGAACACAGCTCTGACCTGTAGTAGAGGTAGCCAATTTTCCCCTCACACTTTAATAATAATTCTGCTCTGTGGATTTTGAAAGTTTATTGCTAAATTATGAAACTTTAAAGTCATATTACCAAGTGGAACACCGTTAAAGAAATGTCTCATGTCATGAATATAGTCTACTTCATCTTTATTTAAAAAAATCATTTTATTGGGGGCTCATGCAATTCTTATCACAATCCATACATACATCCATTTTTCAAAAGTCAAACTCACTGCCATCGAATCAATTCTGACTCATCCTGGCCTTGAGGGACAGGGTCACACTGCCCCTATGAGTTTTCAAGACTGGAACTCTTTACGGGAGTAGAAAGCCCCATCTTTCTCCTGCAGAGCGGCTGGTGGATTCAAACTGCTGAACTTGCAGTTAGAACTCCAACTCATAGTTACTATAACACCAGGAATCCTTTAGTCTAAAATGGTTTTGTAAATGTTATGTACTTCTCCCTCAATGCCAAGAAAACTTTGTTCTAATAACCTGGCATTCCGTGGTGCTCACCTTCCCAACACGATTGCTGAAGACAAAATGGGTGCATAAGTAAATGTGAAGAAAGCTGCTGGTGCCTGGCTATCAAAAGATATATCATCTGGGGCCTTAAAGGTTTGAAGGTAAAACAAGCGGCTATCTAACTTAGACGCAACAAAGCCTACATGGAAGAAGCACACCAGCCTGTATGATCATGAGGTGTTGAAAGCATCAGGTATCAAAGACCCAGATTAAAAAATCATATCAATGTGAATGAGGGGGAGTATGGAGTGGAGACCCAAAGTCCATCTGTAGACAATTGGACATCTCTTAAAGAAGGGTCAGAAGGAAGAGAAGAGCCGGTCAGCGTGCAATATAGCACCGATGAAACATACAACTTTCCTCCAGTTCTTTAATGCTTCCTCCCCCACCACTGTCATGACCCCAATTCTACCTTACACATCTGGCTAGACCAGAAGATGTACATGGGTACAGATAAGAACTCAAAATACAGGGAATCCAGGACAGATAAACCCCGCAGGACCAATAATGAGAGTAGCAATACTAGGAGGGATAGGGGAAGTTGGGGGGACAAAGGGGGAACTTATCCCAATGATCTACATATAACCCTCTCCCAGGGGGATGGACAACAGAAAAGTGGGTGAAGGGAGACAACGGTTGGTGAAAGATATGGGGAAAAAAGTATAAATTATCAAGGGTTCATGAGGGAGGGAGGAAGGGTGGGGGAAGGAGAAAATGAACTGATACCAAGGGCTCAAGTAGAAAGAAAATGTTTTGAAAATGATGATGGTA